CTTGTAGCTGAAGCTTTATACCACGGATTTGCAGATAAAATCTTAATTTTTTTTCTGGTATAAAAGAGATGTTGAAGTTACAAGGCTAACTTCTTCTTTTAATTTGGAAATCTAATATGTCAGAGGACATGGTTTGCTGTCTTTTAGACCTCATGTAGTGCTAAAAATTGTGTACGAAAGTTTCATATTTCTTATCATTAAGTTGTTTCTATGTCTAAATATTTGGATTTCTTTAGAAGGAAACTGCTGAGCCAAGGTACATTTAGTCTGCTGGAGAATTAGGATTTTTAGTTTAAAGTTCTTGAGTTCTGTCCAAATAGTAAGATAATCATTGCCAACTGGAATAATACTTTACACTACATGTACTCTCACCAAGAATAAAGAACCGCCGAAAAATCAAGAATTCAATTAAAGACAAGATATGACAAAAAATGTTTTTTTTTTTCTTTTTTTACAGAAAAAAATGTTAACAAAGTGCTTTGCTCAGTTGCCATAAGGTGTTATTTTCTTCACTTAATCAAAAAGGCCTGTTATTTTGATGGATAGAAAGGCCACATTGTCAAAGAGGTAACTACCAGTCCAATGCCACACAGTTTCTATGTGACAAAGAAATGGATGTCAGATTAGGTGAAAAATGATTCTCGTAATTCTTCTACATTGGTCATGAGATGGGGATTGTGAGGGTACATTTTCAACTTAACGAGATAAATGATTATGTTATTAAGTTCATTTTTCATTTTATGAGTGAGTTTTAGGTCTCAACAAAAATTTAAGTTACTATGTAGCTTTGAGCACTGTGAACTTCATCTGTGATGAGGATTTTTTTTTTTTTTTTGCTAGAGGACCCTTACCTTTTATGTGATGTTAAGTCAGTGATACCTGTAGCAATTTTTTACTTGTGCACTAGCTCTACAAAAATTCTTTTCATGTATTTTACTTTGCAGCTAAAAATTAAATTTGTTTTTTAGTGTCCATTTTTAGCACACTTCTGGTTGGTGATATATTCCCAGTAGGGGCAAGACTGGTTGTACTTAGAGCAAAATTTACAACATGCAGTAATGTTTTTTTTTTTTAATTTATCATTTCAGTGTATCAAAAATGTTAAATTAAGCAACAACTGGTTTGGTAAAAGGTTCTACCCTAGTCCACCCCATCCAGTGTAAACGGGCCTCTGGTTTAGACTCAATTTCCATAAACACCATCAGTCTATGTGGATCGACCCAACTCTGCGAGGACTCTCGTTAAGTGCAATCAGCTTAACTTTAAGATACACCTCTTCATGTTTCCACATACTTGAATAATGACCATCTTTTCTGTATTCACCTTAAAGTCAGGAGAAGGTGTGTTCAAATCTGTTAAGCTGATTGCATTCAGCAAGAGTCCCCACAGAGTTGGATCCATCTTAGTTGCCTGATGGTGTCTATGGGAATGGGGCCTTATATGACAGACTGCAGTAACCCATAGGAGGGCCATTAATTACCAGATTCCAGTCGTGTTACAGATTGTCAGTTTACTTTGGTTTTCCTTTCCGGGGAGAGACCAAACACAAAGATGTTTGATGAGAATTGAAAAACACCACCCGTTGGAGTGAATAGCCAAACCCATACCCTGCGGAGATGACACTTCTGATGCCTCTGGGTTCATTACATTTGGTACTTTTCTTTTGACAAGGTCGTATTAAACGATGAGCACCTCTTAAAAGATTTTCAGTGGCTACCAGCAGGGAAGCGAGTGGACATTGATAACATGATCTCCTTGTAAGACACCTGAGGATTTCTTACCACAGGTGTGACGAGGTCATCCCTTACGTCATTGTCTGGTCATTATCTTGAAACCGATCCCTCTTCAGTCTATCATCAGAGGTAGTATGCAAAATGCAGGTAAATAGGCCCACTTTGATCTTTGAAAATTTTACCCTTTAAATATTCTTATTGATTTTTTTTGTTTAAAGTGAAGATTGTAGGGTGCGTTTTTCGTTGAAGAGGGATTGGTGAGGTGTCTGAGAGGTGTCAGGTTTGGTTGTCTTTGTCCAAGACATACCCATCCTGTGTTTTCTATCAGTGATAGATCCACTCAGGGTTATTGCTGTTATTACATGGGTAATTTTCATGTCATGGTATACGTGTCTGAATTTGAATCATCTCATACATGTCCCTCTGTATTAATATCACTGGGTGCACTTGTGATGGAAAAATGAAAGCACCTGTGATAGAAAACATTGCATTTTAGAATATTAGGAATAGAGATATCATGTTATGGTATTTAAATGTTATACAAAGGACTCATTGTTTCATCATAAACTTAAATCCTAATGTTGGGAATTTTTCAAGATGTCATATTTTATGTTATTTTTCAAGAGGTTATTGCGAAGAAAGATTGTGTTTGATTTATGATTGACATATGTACTTATCTAAACATGCACACGCACACACACATATCAGCAAATATGTTTGTGTGTATACATGTGTTCTTGCCTATAAATAACTTAGTATCCACCCAGCACAATTAATAGTACATTGCTATCAGAATGCTTTTTGCATGGAGCAAAAAGGAAAGTGAAAGTAATTGCTCCTGTTTCCTTCCAGCTGTGGGTGCCCAGGTTCCTACAGGGGGCACCAGTCATAAAGGTTTTGTCTCAGCGTACATACGTTCATGTTGCATGGTCGTTGTTTTGCATGTCCTGAATGTCAGAGTTGGCTGGTTACCAATCATGTCCTTGTCTTCTGACTGGCTCTGCTATTTTCATTTCTGTTTATTGAAATGGCAGGGACATTCTATGTGGTGTATGGTTAACTCACAGTGTAACTCAGGGTGATAGGGTTGGTGTCAGCTATATATATAGGTGCACTCACAATGAAACCCATACTCGGAGGCAGATCCAGAGATACTTTCTGACAGTCTTCCAAATTATCTTTGTTGATCCATCCTCCATTTCTGACCGTCTTCCGACAAAAAATGAGATACTCGTCCATGTAAACTTGAAAATCTGACCGTCTTCTGGAAGACCCAGAAGACGGCCTCAATCTGCCCCTGCTACTAGGAAGATGGAACTAATCAATCACATGAACACGCCTCCTCCTGGCTCCACCATACTTGTATAATCACCAGTTTTTCTGTATTCTACTCAATTGATTGCGGAGTAAGTTCAAACTATCTTAGTACAATAGTTTCATTGTGAAGGCTGATGAATGGGTTGCAGCATGATTGACTGTAATTACATAATTATATGATATACAGACTGAGATATCACCTCAAATCGAAACTGTACTATTAGTGAGAAGAAGCTTGTCTGAGGGCATGCTGTGGTTCAAGTAAGAGCTGTCACAGTGGTAAAACTGAGCCTGTGATTATTTTATATATACGAGTATATATTATTTCTGTTTTCTATTTCTGTAATGTCAGGTATGCTGTATGTGTGTATTTTATATCGGAGAGCTTTCTTCATATTAGTACTTGGTGGATTTGATTACTATTTGTGAAAGGCATGCCTTCAGTGTTATTCTGGATATTCCTCCTATTTCCCATTATTCCGTTTTTGTTAATTCATTTATAACTGTTTAAATCTAAATGTTGAATGAAAACTTTTGCATATGGTCTAATTGATATTTTTTGTTCTCATTTATCTATCTTACTCTATTTTCTTTCCAATAAAAACAATAGTCATATCATTAGGCCTTTACTCCTTTACTTTGTATTCCATTTCACATTTACTTTATATGCATATGCTCTTCCCTCTCTTTTGAAAACAATATGTCCCAGTATTGCATGGGTTTTGGTATTATTGTTGTGGTTGAATTGAAAAGTTGCATCATTACTTTTTGAAATTGTAATTTGGATATTGGATATTAGATAATTACATTGGCAATAGAGATGTACACCCTACTAAAATTAAAATAATTATATATATGTAAGCCATATGAACTTCACACCATTCATTTAACAGAAGTCCAGTAGAGACCAGAAACAGCTGAAGGTTAAGATTCAAACATACAGCCACAGGAGATGAAATTAATAATCTAAATCAACTTCAGACCCCAAGTGTTTGTGGGTAAAATATTTATATTTGTTTGCTTGTTAAACGTATTGCTTATCAATTGCCTTTTACTCTCATTTCAGTTACTGACACCAGAAGAAGTAGATGAAAAGGAACCTCTGGAAAAGGAAGCTCGACCCAAGACCTCCTCGATGGAAGAGCGAATGTCTATGCTGAAAGAGAAACGGAGGAATCGGAAGAAGAAGAAGAGGGCTGAAGAGGGCGCCACAGGAGAGGAAGTGGAGGAGGAGGAGCTGGCGTCTGAAGTGTAATCAAGGCCCAGAACACAGAGGTACCATGTAT